TACCATCCCGGAAGACTCTCCCCGAGCAACAAACCCAGGAGGTTGCTCCATATATATTTCTTCTTGCAAATCACCATTGAGGAAAGCATTTTTAACATCCGAGTTGATAAAGAGGCCATTGTTGAAGAGCGACCATGGCGATAAATAAACGAACGAAGCCATCTTTGCCACGGGGAAAAGGTATCTCCATAATCCAACCCAAAAATTTGAGTATAACCTTTGGCCACAAGACGAGCTTTGAGGCGATCAATAGTACCATCGAGTCCAACTTTGATAGCAAACACCCACCTGCAACCAACAACGATTTCCCAGACGGTAACGGGACCAATTCCCAAGTTTCACTATTATGAAGAGCACTTAGTTCATCTAACATGGCCTGACGCCAACCAGGATGGGCTAAAGCTTCACGATACGCTTTTGGAATGGTCACGGAAGAAATAGAGGAAAGACATGTATAAAAAGGTAATGACAATCGATGATAACTCAAAGCAATATAATGGGGAGAGGGATTACGTGTAGAACGAATACCTTTTCGGAGGGCAATGGGAAGGTCGGACTCATGTGTCGGATCCGGAGGAGACAGAGTAGTTGGCACTTGAGTAGAGTCACATGGTGGTGGTTGTGATTGGTTTCGAGAACTATAAATCCGAAGAGGCAGTGGAGAAGAAGCTAATCGCGGAGCGAAAACTAATGGTGAAGAAGACACAATTAGAGGGTCACAAACAACAGGAACATTAAATGTATTAGGAGTGTTGACAAGATTGGATGGAGACAGAGGTGAAGTTTGACTTTTAAAATAAAGAGACAACTCATCAAAGGTGACATCTTTTGACACAAAATAACGGTTAAGAGAAGGAGAAAAACATTTGTATCCTTTTTGTGATCTTGTAAACCCTAAGAAAACACATTTATGTGATCTAGGAGAAAGCTTGTCCGCACTGAATTGAAATTATGAACAAAACATGTAGACCCGAAAACTTTCGGAGGTAAAGGATGAAGTGGTTCATGAGGGAATAAAATGGAATGAGGTATTTTATTATCTAAAACCGAAGAAGGCATGCGATTAATGAGATAACATGCAGTAAGAAGAGCATCACCCCAAAAATGTTGAGGAACATCTCCATGAATTAAAAGTGTGCGAGTTGTTTCAATAAGATGTCTATTTTTACGTTCAGACTACACCATTTTGTTGAGGTGTATAAGCACAAGAAGTTTGATGCAAAATACCGTGAGAAGCCATGAATTGTTTAAAAGAATGAGAAAGATATTCACGGCCATTATCACTACGCAAAACTCTAATAGAAACACCGAACCGAGTTTGAATTTCATTAAAAAAAGTTTGAAAGATATGAAATAATTCGGAACGATTTTTCATCAAAAATAACCAAGTGCATCCGGAATAATCATCAATGAAAGTAACAAAGTATTGAAAACCTAAAGTAGACTTAACGCGGCTAGGTCCCCAAATGTCGAGTGAACCACGGCAAAGGGGACGAAGCACCACGTGTGAAACTACGAGGAAAGGAAGTACGACTATGCTTGCCTAATTGACATGACTCACACGCCAAACTAGATAAGTTAGACAAGGCAGGGACAAGTTTTTGTAACTTGGCAAGGCTTGGATGACCTAACTCGAGCATGAAGAAGAGAGGGAGACTCCATAACCGTACTAACATGTGTAGAGGGACGGAGATAATAAAGACCATGAGACTCACATCCCGTGCCAATCACCCGTTTCGAACTCCTGGTCCCGTAAACACACAGAATTGTTGGTAAAAGTAATAACACAATCAAGAGAACGAGTTAGACGACCGATGGACAACGAGGTTAAAAGGAGACCCAGGGACATAAAGAACATTATCAATGGTTAAAGAAGGAAAGAGTTTAACCGTTCCAACACCATGAGATGATACTCTAGAGCCATCGACCAGATGTAACGAAGGTAAATGATTAGGAGAGGATAAAGAGGAGAACAAAGATTTGTTACCAGTAATATGATCAGTGGCTCCTGAATCAAAAACCCAAGGACCAGGAGAAAATGATTGGGTCGGACCAGTAAAATATGTATTTGTATGTGTGACGGATATAGTGGAACTAGAAGACTGTTGATCCTTATACCATTCGAGAAATTTGTTGAACATAGCAGACATGCTCGGATGCAACAGAAGAAGGAAGATCCCCTACGGATAAAGGTGGGGAAAGATTGGTCCGAACAACTACAGCAGATCGAGGAGAACGACCATGTAATGTATAACACTTGTTAATCTTGTGACCTAGCTTGTCACAATGTTCACACTTAGGACGCCATTTTTTCGTTTGCGAGGGCGAGTCCGGTCATCACGATGGGATGTCAACACAAAAGAATCGTTAACAAAATTGGAAATAGTGGAAGAAGTCATGAAGAGCGGGAGAACAAACCCCGACCGAGACAAGCAAAATCATATGTCACCGGTAAAAAAAAATGAAACTCCGGCGAATTCTCCGACAACTGGCCGACCCAAGTGATCGCTCCAAGTGACAGCGGTGACAGTAACGTGAACTAGTACACTAGGTAAGTTCCCAGGAAAGAGAGGTGGGTCACTAATGGACACACTTAAATACCAAGTCTTTCCTTGCAGAACTTTCCTAAACATGCACTTTCACACTACCAAATAAAATTCAATGACAAAGATAATTCTTTTCGATGTGGAGGATCGGTTACCAGCAGCGGTGAGGCGGCTCTAGCAGCGGTGGGGCGGCTCCAACAGATGGACAAAAGGCGGAAAAAAATTCAAGATAACCTTAAGCTCTAGATACCATGTTGAATATAAAGAAAATATAGTTTGGAATTAATTTCCCTTGTGTATAAATCACACATAGGGTGGTCTATTTATAGTAGAGAAATACAACTAAAAGAGTAACTGAAAGTAACAGAATAAACAGAAGATATTGTTTGATATTGTGGTTACCAATATCTAACAATATCTTAACAATATCAAATAATATATAAACAATATCTAACAATAACATTACTGCAACTTGTAAAATAATCTTTCATATATATAGACCATAGGTAACTGGGAAGGAGTTCAAATGTTGGGTAACTCTTTTAACATATGTAGAAATTATGAACTCATTCTTCAATGATAAACAAAAAGATTTTTCTGTAATAGCAAGTGATATGTATATAAAGCAAGAAGGGAAATGTCCAAATCAACTCACCCAACTTTTAATTCTCAAAACAATGAATTGGGTTCCGTTTTAGGATCGAGTAAAAAGTCTATCTATCTCGATATATATATATATATATATATATATATATATATATATATATATATATATATATATATATATATATATATATATATATATATATATACTTTTTTTTATTAACTTCTATAAATCTCATTTATTTAATGTTCATAAAGAAATAATACAGAAAATTTTATCATTTAAAATTTGAAGAGATTTATTTCTACTTATAGTTGTTGTAAGTTATTATCAGAATGGAGATGAGAGAGTCACAGTGAAATTGCATCGAATTCAACCATTAGACCTTCAGCCTACTTCCTTGGCAATGTTGGTGATTGAGGCCACAACTCCAGGAGACAAGCCTCTGTCTTTCACACACATCTCACCATATCAAATGTGGACAAATGGGAGAAACCGGATAAGAAAGTGGGCTATACTGCATCATAAACGAATTATCTAATGTAAATACAACTCCGCCTAAAGAAAAAGAACTACATCTTGAAGCATTGAGTTCATCCATAGTCCATGGACCCATGATTCTGACTTTATGAAACATCCAATTTAACTTACAGCAAAAGGGTAGGTCCCACAGAACATAGGAAACTATAGAATCCTAATGGCTGGGGGAGTAACAATAAATCCTAATGGTGTTTAACTAAACTATAGAATGGCATTTATTCAAGCCAAAACAGAAAATTTTAAATTCATTATTCTTGATACAAGAAATTCATAAAGACAAAAGAGAAGAAAAATACAAACCGAGCTCCTCAGCAGAAAACAAACACTCACCTGGACCTGGATCAACTTAGTTGATTAATGAGTAAAGAAATTAAATCAAAGACTAGGCATCATGAACTCAGATTTTATTACCTTATTCCATTGGCTCAAATCAAATGGGATAAAACTAGACGTACAACAACAAATAATGAGCATAAGTGAGACAATAAGTCTTTATGTGTTTGTGTTTTACTTATTCTCGTCAACACTTGAAAAGGGAACATCTGTGTTTCGCTTACTATATACATTAGAAATTACCTTGTAAACATTAGTGAAAAATGTGACCACTTTCACCCCTTCACATAATGTAATTAAAATCAATTACATCAAATAAGTGTTTAATAAATAACACAACTACTCACAATAAGATGATGAAGATGGCTGGTTGCGAAGACTCTGGCCATAGACATAATCACATGACCCATTCCCTACCAATGTGTCCTGTCCATCTTTAAATGTCCACCTCTCACTTCTGTCACAAAATTATTCCCCATTTTATCCTTGCATTTGTTATTTTATGGATATAAACAGAAAAAATAGATCTTTTTTTAAAAGAATGAGATGCTATTGTCGGTTTTATGCGTAGTCTAATTGTAAGAGTAATGTTGAAAGATAGTGAACACCTTTTATCTCCTTCCATACCTTGTACGTTTTCTTATCATCTTCTTCCATGCTCTCACTCACGTGCAGCTCAGCATGCTATACAACTCTCGTATCATATCATATCATATCAAATAATATCTTTTCATATATGTACACCAATATTTTGTTTAACTAAATTTAATACGCATTCCAATCTTGTATAAATAAAAACAGAAAAGAGAGGAAAATCCACAAAAGAAGAAAATATTATTATAACACACTTTACTACTATTACTATTACACACTTTACTATGAGTCGATTTCCACTTGGGACACGACAAAAAGGCTTTCGACAAAACTTTTTACAAAGTGAACAGATAAACTACAGCACCCCCTTCTCAATTCTCTTCTCATATTGAAATCTTCAACATATCCATCACAAAATTCTCCATCATCATCTTAGATTCCTCAGCAAAGCAGTTAATCTTCAACGTTCCTTCTCCTGCCAAACCCACATCATCCAATCAACAATCAAGGGAAACGAGCAAACACAAATGAAGGGAGAGAAAAAGGAAAGGTTGCTGCTGCATACCATAGAAAAATGATGGTTGTTTCCTGAGAGGACAAGAGGAAATTGGAAGCACAGGGAGATTCTGGCAGTTGCATATTTCAATCATATATCCATCTGGGTCATGGAAGAAGAGTTGATCAACTTGGATTCCACCTTCTTCCACAACTGATGTTTTGAACTCAATCTTCATTGCATCAAGTTTCTGCATTATAACTTCCATATCTGAGCATTGAAACGATATATGATTTTCTTTCGGGTTTATCTCTCTCTTTTCCACCGGAACCTTAGCTGACTCTAGCAAGTGAATGCCAATGCCATAATTGAATAACCTAAAAAACTTCCATCTTCTCAGTAACCAAAACCTTAAATGGTTCGTCTCTAACAAAAAATCCAAAACCTAAAAAATCTTACCCAAAAAAGGGTAACTGATTTATTTTTTTCTTTTTTCCTTTTTTGCATCGTAATTATTATGAATGAAACAATGATAAAACACTTTTTCTGTTCAAAGAAAAGAAAATGGAGAACAATAATTTTGGTTATGAGTGACCCCACGTGCTGGAGCTCACAGCTGGCAATGAATAGACTTATAAGCCATACAACTTATTATAATCAGTGTGTCACCCACTTTATACAATTTCACATCCATCACTATTAATTTAAAGTCTTCAATTTCTGAATCTCATATTTTGAATAAAAAAACAAATCATCATCAATAAACCAAAACTAGGCATCTCGAAGTCTAGAAATTGTCTCGTGACAAAACAAAGACATATTATAAAAGAGCGCGTGATTTGTAAGATGTACACGTTCGTGTACGCATATAAGATCAGTGTCGGTGCTAAGGTATCACATTATTATAATTAAATGAATTTTAACATAAAATTTAATACCGTTATTGTAAAAAATAATAATAAAGGAACCGTTTGTTATCATGTTTAATGGAGACAATATTCTTGCAGTTTATTATTTATAAAAAAGAAGACAATGTATTTGTTTTATTGTGCATTTAACTGGTTATTCTTACACTCATATAGATGGAATGTGTCTTCGGAAGAAGAAATATTGTGTTTATATTACAGGAAATTGAATTTGTGATGACATTGTTAAGGGATCCAAACTTGATCTGGTAGGAAGTGAGATTAGGGAAAGGAGAAAAGAGAAGTTACGTACCATGCCCCTTCGAATTTGAAAGAAGATGGCCTCTTGATGAGCACGAATCCGAGGACATCTTCGTAGAATTTCACAGACTCACTCACACTCTTACACACAAAAGAGACATGGTTGAGTGAAAGCAAAGGGAGTGAGCCTCGATCTACTTTCCCCATCTCTCTCACGCACTGGCTTGGAAAGCAAAGGTTAAGGGAAAAGCTGTGTAAATATGTGTGGAGTGGTGTGGGTTGTGTTGGTGAGGATGTAACCGCACTGAGCGGTTATATAAAGGCAGAAGCGAAGGTGAGTTGTGAAAAGTTTAGAGATAAAATGGAAAATGAAATTATGTGTTCACACCTAATCAATCATAATATTCAACAACCACCTATAATTTTGGTCACTGTTCAACTTGTATCGTGATTAAAAACGTGCGAGACCAAACTTAATTGTGAATAGGGAGGGAGCAATCAAAGGTGAAACTATTTCTTTTAATTTAATTTCCAGTTCAAACTTGATGCAGTGATGTTTAGCTTTGGTTTGGATAGATATAATATATGAAAGAAGATATTGTTTTACATAAAAAAAAAAAAAAGAGAGAGAGAGATTGTGGTGGTGCCTATGTTTTTGCATCCGCGTCATTTGATGAGACCAAAACGTGGCCATGTGACAGAAATGAAGACCCATTAAGTGCACACCGTGTCTTCTTTTTCGATAAAATAATAAAATATCCCAATTTGTTTCAAAACTTAATTATTGTTTCAAAACAGTAATGCGGTGCCTTTGCAGCATGTTTCACATGTCATGTGTTGTGCCTTTCTTCCTTATTATTTTGTTTCCTATACTTTCCACAGGACAGTTAATGCAATGATTAAAGCTCATCATTTTTTTTATTGTTTATAATTTTTTAACTCAAAATTATTGATTGAGTTCAATAAGTTTTGTTTTATCTAACTTAACATAAAAAAATAAGAAATATGACTTGTTGAAAATCTATCCTCTAGATTAATGTTAACTCAAATATCAACATAGATTATGATTGCATGAGGAAAATCAAAAAGAAACTTGGGGATGTTATTTATTAGAAAACAATTCTCACAAGTTACTCATCCAAAACTAAATAAAATAAAAAAATAAATAAATTATTCTTTAATTTATTTTCAATGTATTAAAAGGATGTATTATTAAAGGGGTGTATTAAGTTGATGTTGGGATTAGAATAAATTTGAATTATTTGAATTGAGAGAAAAATAAAGATAATGATTTAAAAGAATTTTAATAAATTTATTATAATTAACACGATTTATATAATTGAATATAAAATAATTGAATAATAGTAATTTTAATATAATGATCAAATTATCTTTTTAAGATAAAATAAAATATTTATAAAAATGAAAATAATTAATAAAAATAATTTAAATATTTATTACTTAACCAACCACATTCTTCCTATTTCATAAAGGATTTATAAGAGTGTAGAACCTATTTCTCCGTCACCCTAAATCTATTCAAATTAATCAAACCAATAAACGTCTCATAAATTCTCTCTTTCAAATCTTTTATTGCAATAAATAAATAGAAACAACCAAATTATTAGAAAAAAAGAATAATGGTAGAAAAAAAGAAGTAAATATGAATCATATTTATACATGAATGATTAAAAAAAATAATGAAAAAATACTTTGACGAAGTGTAAGATTAATTGAATGATATAGTGGATATGACATGAGTAAAAGAAAGTGGTATAGACCCCGGTATAAGAATAACAAAGTTTATGGTGTAATTAAACAAAAACGTGTTACAAAAGAATAAGAAAAAGCATATTAAATAATACACATGCAACTTCTAGAAGGAATTTTAGCCAAAGGAATACAATAATACAGATGAAAGGTAGGATAAATAGATGTAACTTGTTATCAAGAACTCGTGAACAAATGTCTCTAAAATGGGAAATTTGGTACATTCAAAATCCACCTAAGACGTGGTGAGGCCTATATCTAGCCAGCTAGTTTGAGAGGAAATGCCAACTAAAAACGTACGATGCCGTAAATTCTACAAAGGGCAAAAGTCATTTTCATTTTTCATCCTTAAAAGTTATCAAGCGTGCGAGAGAATATTCAAGAATTAGGCACCACGGGCCATTTTCATCCTTGGCATTGCCTTCTTCATTTGACGAGTACGCTCTTTTGTTTCTTTCTTTCGAATAGCCTCTGCACTCAACTTTGCCTCGGCCTCCTCCATCATCTTTTTCCTCTCTGCCTTTCTTCTCTGCATCGCCTCTTGTTGGGCATTTCGGAGTTCTTTCTGTGCCTCTAGAGCAGCCTTTTGTCGTGCACCCTCTGTCTTTGACCGAGCCTGAATTATCAACACAAGTCAATTAAGGACAAACCACAAAAACTTCTATTAACTACAAGCCAAGCATAGATTGGTAGCATGACTAACCCACCTGAGAACTTAATTTATATCTTCCAACCAAGTCAATATAATACGGAACAAGTGCCACCAGCCGAGTCATGTCAGCCATGTTCTTGGCAGCAGGAAGCACAAACTTGAACAACAATACCTTCTTGTGTACACCAGGGTGCTGATCGGAGAAATGCAACGAAATTAAACCTTTTCCAAATTTCTCAAAAGCTTTGTCACCAAAAACCTGCAGTGTGACCATATCAGATTTTGACTCCAATAAATAAACCTTAACTTTGACAGGATGTCAAACAAGACCCTTACTTTGCATAGCAAGCTTTCAACACCACAACCCTGACTATAATTGAAAACATTAAATGAAGCCAAATGTAATAAAGCTACTTATCAATAAATTGTAAAAGAAACAGGAGAACCAAGGAGGATAGCAAGACAATCAACCACATGAAGTGTTGAACATGATAAACAATGCTCCTCATAAAACCATTGAACATATAATTATTACTCATGTCAGTGTTTTAATAATCTTGGTCTCAACAGGTGACGATATTGAGTAAAACATATGCCAATTAATGAGATAACAAATTCCAACAGTATATTAGTTATATTTCAGGATTAGTTTCCCTACTTATCATTATATAGTATGATCTCGCCATATATCCATATCTTATGATTTGCTAACCAAATTAGTTAGGAGTTAGGATTGTGTTGAGAATATAAAAAAGGGTTAGTGTGTTAGGATTTATGCATTCATTGTAATATATATCGTTGTATTATACAAAATTCACTCTTCTCTCTACTATTCTTTCCTTCTGTTAGAATAGCTGTTTTCATTAAGATAACTTGTTGAGATAGGTTAACCTATGTTCACTAAAAAGCTGTTTTTCATTTATTAGCTACTAGCACCGAGGTGTAGCCTTTAGTCTCTACACTTTTTGTAATCATGTACCTTCTCCTATAAATAAATGGATCAGCTAAGAGATAATCCAATATATTAAGCCGCTTTATCATATTTTTCTGTCTTAAGTCCTTCAATACTTCAAAATCCCATAATTTTAACATAGTATTAAAATGGAACCATCTCTATGACCTCTCTTGCCATAGCTCCACAAATCTCTCACTAAAATCGAGATTTTTCATGATTCTTCCTTCAATCTTCTCTATTGTTTGGTCTTTGTACCATCATTATACTTATATACCGATCTCCATGTAGTATTACAGTTTCTTTGCCTTTATACTAGGAGACTGTGTACAGTCATAGGAGTAATACCTCATTGTTGAAGAGTAGAGTGGTTCCTTATATGTAGATCGTCTATAAATATTACGAGGGGAGAGAGGTAGGACAACACTTATTGAATGTTCTTGCTTGTCGGTATCCCCATAGAGGCTTTTTGCCAGAACAACCACCACCACCATCTCTTGGTCATGTTCTTCCTTCCACCATTTCGTTCACAAGTTTGGTCCACCATTGGTTAATAATAATCTTGATGCTCCATAATACTTGTGTTTTTCTAGAGTCTGTTATCTCCACTGGTGGGAATTTTTTAATAGTGATTTTCATAAAATTTTGCGACGCATGTTTCTCTCCGGATTTTGATCTACTCTGTCATGCTTTTTCTTTTCCAGCATGACTCTGGGCGTCTCTCTGGGTTTCAATCCCCTCCATCGTGCATTTTTTGGGGTGTTTCAGAAAGATCTCAGCTCTGAGTTCTAATCTTCTTCGGTTTTCAAAAATAAAAAAGTAAAATAACTTGTCTGATGGACAGAAGTGTTCTTTGACTATGCTAGTGGTATATTTCTGCGACACCCTTTCACAATACAATATCTTAACATGCTTAAGCCCAAGCTAGATTTTTTTTTATGCTAATCGTCATCTTTCTTACAAAAAAATTGTCCAACCTCCAACACATGATCATGGCCCAGTCAAGATAAGGCATCTCCAACCCAAAAAACAAGTTCAAAAGAAGTCCCCCGCTTGCTATGTTCCCGAGATGTCAATCCTTGGATTGCTCCAAATCTGGCTCTCCCGCAATATAGCTCCCAAACACAGGAGAAAACAGAAGAACAAAGAAATATCTCCAACCTGTTTCTGTTTTCTGAAACAATTGTTTTGAAAATGATTTTTAAAATTTAATAGAAATTGGGTGAGAAATTGATTACTGAGTAGAATAAGTTTTTTTAGAAAACAGTTCTTAAAACCAAAACGTGAGATTGCTCTAGCTCTTCATATAATTACCATTGGCAACAGTGAGTGAGGAGAAATAAAAGAGTGACAATGAGAATAATGCCTAATGGGAATCCTGAGGGGAAGTATAACATAATAGGTCATCTGTTGGATTGAAAAGGAAGTATAAATCAATAAGATATACAATGTTCTAAAGCTTTTGGACCTTGAATTTAAGAAAGGGTACATGCTTTTGGCAGTATCAACTGGAATGTGAGAGAAAAATCATTTTACAGCACCTGAGTTATAAATAGGTCACGACAAAACCAAACTACAAAATCTATATCTATTCCTTTCTCACTCTACGCAATTCAATCTCTCGGTGAAGTTACAAACTAGAAAGATGATTCGATCTACGACAACTGCCCTACATACACAGTTAAGCTTCTAATAATGGGGCACATAAGGGTAAAAAGCTAATAAAATACATGCTTAATTTATTAAGAAATCATCATATGAAAACTTATTCATAGGTTTATCAAATGCGAAGCTTACTATGGGCGAGATTTCATAAACAACTTAATCAAACAT